GCAGGTGTGAAAGCATTCAACAAGGAAATGGTTCAAGTGATATTTTTTTAAATTATATTTATTTGATCATCTATCTACATGGAATATAAAAAAAATCGAGTATGATAAAGAATAGAGTAAAACTAAGGACTGCGCCCATTGATGCAGTTCTTCACAGTGTTTAGATATAGATTATTGTTAATTAAAAGAAAGACAAGGAAAATAAAGTTTGTTCTTATTAAATCTAAAACCAGTCATTAAGATTTTTTTTAAAATTTTCTGAGGTGTGTTTGTTCTAGCAGCTTTCTTGCAATGATATTTGGGTGGGGCGACTAATTCAAGTGATGTTATATTTCAAAACCAACTCTCTTTGCTACAAGGACATTGAAAATATAGTAAAAATAATGCGGTCGACTTGCATTTTAGGTCAGCAATGTAAAACGTGAGGACAATGTTGAGGTTAGGCAAACTGAGGTTCATCAAGAGGGAAATGAAACCTTGAAGCAGAACTGAGCAAGTCAAGGCAAGAAAAAGGTGAAAAAATTGCATCAGACGTCAATGTATCATTTGGGTAGTCAGTCAAGTTGGTGAATAACTTTCTGAAGATTTTCGTGTCGTTAGAGAATGAAGAAGAGGAAGCACCACGTAGAGTTGGAGTAGAGAAATCTCTATTGGACTCGATTATGATATGAAAAGGAAACTGTTTTGAATTCATTTACTATTGATAGTACCTGTTGATGCTATAACGATATCGACGATGACGTTGACGATTTCATGACGATGTTATGAGAAGTAAAATAAGAAATCTAGAAGAACAAAAAGTGCAGAGCGCCCACTAACTCTAGATAAAAAATATAGAAATTTAAAATACAATGCACGGGATGCAAAAGCATGCTTGTAGATTTTTGTAAGTTTGTGGGTATAGGGGTAAATGATTATAAGAGGCATTTAGCATTACAGGTCGTTTAAGGTGAAAGGGGCCAGAAACGACAGAAATTATAATATTTTAATTATCATACAGAAGATGACTAGATTGGAGATTTTGTCGTTTTTATAATAGTTTTTTATTTTTGTAGTTTGTCTCCCAATTTTGACTTCAGATTTGTATTCAGAAATAAAAACTACATTTAAAAACATATTTCGAACACCCAATACAGACAACTTTTTTGGGGGCCTGTGTTATCAATAAAAAATATTTTAAAAATTTCATTTTTAAAGAACTAAGTATACAATAACAAATTAGAATTCTCAATAATTCAATACATAGTGATGAATATTGATGCAATGTTCGACACACAAATGTCGCCTATAGGCGAGACTCTCGTACATACAGGTTGGCACAAGCCATCAATTTTGTATTAAAAGGGTTAAAAATAAACCGGTACTTATACAACAAACTTTTCTACTTTATATCCGGAATATTATAAACTCAACATGGTTTTTAACTTAATTTTTCAAATTTCGTAGCTTTACAAAGCTACGCATGTTTATTTGAGAAAGAAATCATCTAACAAAAATAATGCCAATATTACAAAATGATAAAGTTATGTTTGAAACTAAACCATCAAGACATAATCGAATCGCTCTGCTTGTAATTACCGTATAAATTTATTAATAAACTTGTGCCTCGGCTGCGCCTCGTCTAACATTTAACGGCCTATTTCTTACTATATAGTTGCGATAATTGAATCGGAGCGCTGACAGACAGACTTTAGCGGGCGTTCAAATCAATCAGCACGAATATCGACCACAAATTCTAACTTCGTACAAGTCAACTATAATAAACGAGAACAATGGACATGCCGAATGAAAGGCGATTATAACTGTGATTTCGTTCGTTAAACGTCACTTGTTGTGATCGAATGCAATTGATCGAATTAGGAAAGTCCGCAGACTACGAAGAAAGATACCGAAAGAAAGTTTTGTCTCGCTTTTGTTCCAAACTATTCATAGAATAATTGTTTCTGTGTAATATTAAACTACATTGAATGTGTATACATTACATCACAGACCCTGGTCTATCTAGTGTTTGGAATTTGAACTACCGATTATTTGACTTTAAAAACGTCAAATTCGTTGGTCCCAATTATTCACTTATTAAATTAAAATTTAGTATTCCCGAAGGAGAAGTTTATGTTTACATAAAAAAACCGATTCGCTAATTTTATGTTTTCCTCGACGTTTCAAGACATTCTGAATCGAATGAGACCAATTTGGAAAAAGTATGTGTGTGTGTATGTGAACAGATTTTTTTGCCGTAAATCGACGTTTTCTCAAACCGGCTGGACTGATTTCAAAAATTAAAAGCCATTTGATGCATCTCGATGAGTACTAGCGTTTATCAAATTTGCGCGACGATCAGCCAAGCCGTTTCTTTGTAAATCGCATTAAAGTGAAACAAAAATTGCCCACGTTTGAGCCCGCATTCTGATAGATTTTGAAAATTAAATTACCGTTCGAAAGATATTGGTTGGGAATCGTGCTGATTAGTTTTTGGTAGAGATCGGCCGGCCCGTTTTCTTGTAATAAAGTGTAATTTTCTTTTTTCGGCGATTTTTTTATTATTTTTTGACGAAAGATACCATAGTCTTCTAGATCAGGCATCGGCAACCTACGGCACGCGTGCCAGGCTTGGCACGCGATGTGGTTCTGAATGGCACTCTATAAAGTAATCAGAAATCGCAAATATCGAGTGATTTTTAAATAAGAGAAAATGTTTAATTATAATTATTTTTCTAACGTAGCTCGCTAATGTAATTCAACCTACGTTGAAGTACTAAAGATGAATTTTTCCAGAAGATGCAAAGACTTTGAAGCTTATGTGCCTATATATTCCTTCCTCATAAAACCAGATTTAATCGATCCATCAATAATACCGTTTGATTTGTTGATTTTCGAATGGATTAATGTTGATAATTTTGAAAGGAACTAATATCTTCAGAATTATGGAAAACAAAATTGAAGGAATTACAAAAAAATCTGGAAGATAACTCTATGGACAAATCGACAGCCATATTAAATTGTTGAATGACATTGCCGCAAAAGAATTAATTGTTTAAAGAAAATTGTATGCGCTCTCCTTTCAGCTTTGGTTCCACATATCTCTGTGAACAATTTTTTTCTCACATGAAACATATTTTGAGTTCACAAAGAAATCGTTTAACAACTAAACATTCAGAATCTTGTGTGAAATTAAGTTACAAATTATACCCCGGATATTGAAATGTTAAGGAAAAATGTGCAGGCATAAGATTCGCATTAAGTTGTTTAGTTTATATTAGAAATTTATGTTATTTGTTAATAAATATGTTTAAAAGATACATTTGGTTATAATTCTTCTCCCCTAGCACCTAACTATATATTTCAAAATTAAGGCGGCACTCTAAATCATATTGGTAGAGTGGCTTGGCACACTATAGTTAAAAGCTTGCCGACCCCTGTTCTAGATCATACTAAAATATTACTGCCTTACAACTCGTTTAACTTTAAAAATTTGTCAAAGTTTGCAAAAATTAGTATCGTTTATTAGCATTTGTCAAAATTAGACCTTTCATAGACATTTACTCCAAAACGCCTTCAGACCGATTTCAGAAATTTAAAAGCCATATGATGTATCTCGATGAGGATTATCGCATCTCAATTTTGAGCGACAAGCGGCCGAGTCGTTCCTTTGAAATTTGGAAAAAAGTGTTAAACTTTTCGTCTACATTTAAGCTCATACTACCGAATCGATTTTAAAAAATCATAAACTGTTTGGAAATATTAGCTGGGAATGATACTAATTAGTTTTAAACTGAAAATCTACCGAGCCGTTTTCTTGTAATTAGCTGTTGAAAATAATATAAGCCGATTTTTATGGTACTTTTTTTGGCGATATATATCATAACTAGTGGTGTACGGCAACGTGCCATAAGGCAAATGGAACTTTCCGTACCGTAACGAAATGTTCGAGAAATATTAAATGTTTTTATATAGATCATTATAAATATTGTAACATGTCGAATATTTATAAGAATTATAAAAACTGAATTGCAAAGTATATTAGAACTTTAGTCATAATTAAATTAAAATCTGAATCATTTTAGATATACAAAAAAAATTGAAATAAATTTTTTTTTCTAAAAGCAATTATTCTGTTAAAACAGCAGAAAGTTCTATGAATCATTCAAATCGGACGATTAGTTTCTTTCAAAAACTGCCATTTTGTGTACATTTAGCTCTGTATCTTCGAAATGGCTGCATCTGCCTTTGCCAAAAACTAATCACCACTTTTCCCAATCATTACAAATTGAATGTTTTTAGATCATTCAAATCGGATACTCCGTTCTATCAAAAACTTTATTTTTATTTTCTGCACTCTTTGCTCCGCTTTATAGCCAGAATTAAATTAAAATCCGAATTATTTTCGATGTACAAAAAAAAAATTGGAAAAAAATATATGTTGAAGTAAAAAAACTTTTCCCAAATGCGATTGTTTTGTCAATGTGCTAAAAATGGCAGTTTTTGAAAGAAATAAGCATGCGATTTGAACGATTCAAAAAAAAATTCTGCTTGTGTTGATGAAACGATTGTTTTTGAAAAAAAAAATTTTTTTTTAGTTGAATTTTGTTTTAAGTAACAAAAAAATGATTTTTTTGAATATCGAAAATAATTCGGATTTTCAAAATTTCAAATGTTCCAGCAATTTGAATTCACCAGTTGAAATCTGTTTAGGATTTTCATAAAAAATTTTGCTCTATTCTACTAATTGATCAGTATAAATTAGCATTAATGGATCAAAAATTGTAATTTATTTTGTCTGAAATTTTTACAAACTGAGTACTGCTTAATAAGAAGATGCGATTTAATAAAATTTGTAAAAAATATCTGTAAATCTATAATATAAAAAAATATATATATTTATATAAATTTATTCATAATACTAAATATTTGTACAGCAGTAATTAAATTTTCAATGCAAATAAAATATAAGTAATTCATAGATATTTCACAAGCAGTGTTAGTTTCTGCTTGGTAATATTTCATTGATCTTCATCATGTTTTTCTCTATGAACAGTCACCTTGTGTCTCTTCAAGTTGTTCGATTGTGAAAATTCCTTATTGCATGTATCACATTTGAAAGGACGCTCTTTGGTGTGAGTGGTCATGTGTGATTTCAAATTAGCTTTTTGTCTGAATGTCTGATTGCATATATCACATTTGAAACGGCGTTCTCCTGTATGAATACACATGTGCCTATTTAAGTCACCCGAATGTAAGAATGTTTTCTTGCATATTTCACATTTGAAACGACGCTCCTTGGTGTGAGTGATCATGTGGTTTTTCAAATTATATTTTCGTTTGCATGTATGATTGCATATTTCACATTTGAAAGGATGCTCTTTGGTATGAGTGATCATGTGCCTTCTTAAACAATATTTTTGTGCGAATGTCTGATTGCATATATCGCATTTGAAACAATGCTCTTTGGTATGAGTGATCATGTGTAATTTCATATTAGCTTTTTGTCTGAATGTCTGATTGCATATCTTACATTTGAAAGAGCGTTCTCCTGTATGAATGGTCATATGTTTTGCCAAGGTGCTTTTTTCATTGAACGGCTTATGACAGATTTTGCATTCGATAGGGCGTTCTGTGTTATGAGTAATTATGTGACGTTGCAATCGTAATGAATATTGAAATGTCTTATCACATACATTGCTTTTATTGTTGCCTTTTTTGCCATTTCTAGGTATGTGGTCAACAGTGTGCGATTTTTCAAATGATCTATTACTTATGTCACATGCATGAGCAGATGTCTCGATTAACTCCTGTTTGACTTCTTCTTCAATAATTACTGCGGAGTTCATAAATCTTTCCAGACAAGTTTTATCATCTTCTAAATATGATTCAGACTTAACAATACCTGTAAGATCATCAAATTCATTTTTAAGTTTAATGTCTTCCATTGAATATTCTGGTGGCTCAATTTTAATTTTCTGATCATTCATAATTGTTCCTTCAGATATTTTCACTGCGTGTATTCAATAAATATTGGTTAGTACTATTTAATAATCTATTTTTTTTTCAAATATCTCAAATAATATAATGAATCTAACTATACTTGCATTTGTTGTAGAAAATATTATCACTTTACACGGTTATAGTAATATTGTTTAAGGTTATAGTCGTTCGGAATTCAAGTTGACATTTTGAGCATAGAGTATGTTTTAATAAAGACGCGTTCAGAAGGATTAGTTAGGGGTCCTATTGTAGTCGCAAATTTGGCGCTAGTGAGCCGATGAAAAAGTATTTTCAAGTCAAATGTTTGATATTGGTTAGTAAGAAACGTCAGTGTTAATTTTGTGTCAGTTGACAAATTGTGATTCTTTTATTCTGTTTGTGTTTGTACATTTGTTAATAAAGATTTCATTAATTTTCAGTAGGGTAAGTTATAGTAATCGTAAAAAACCAAAAATGAAAATTTTTGTATATCCTTACGTTTCAAAGGATTTTTCGTCGACGATTTCGGGAACACCGATCAACTGATTTGAATAATTCATAATACATTCGATTCGTGTTGATAAGGAGACGTGTTGATTAGTTTTTGGCAAAGGCAGGTCCAGCCGTTCCGAAGATGCGGGGCAAAAAGTGCTAAAAATGGTAACTCAGTTTTTAAGAGAACGGTGCGTCCGATTTTAATAATTTAAAAAACATTTTACTTTTATTGACAAGATGAACAACTGATTAAATTTTTGGGAAGGCAAGTCCAGCGGTTATGGACTCTCAATAAAAATAAGTTAAAACTATACATTTTTGATAAAAATTTACTTTTTTTTGAAAAAAAAACGACTTTTTGAAGAAAAATTTATTTTGAACTATTTTGAAAATCCTGAACATTTTCAAAGCAATCGTACTGCTTTTACTGCATAGAGACGAAATAGCGTCGCCGCGTCGCTAATCTAATAATTTGATGTGCATATGTCTAATGATCATTTTTGACCGCCAAATTTTTTCATTCGATCTCCGAAACCGCTAGACCTGCGTTCATGGAAATTTGATCAGTTCTTTATCTTGTTAATACAAGTAAAATGTTTTTTGAATTTTTAAAATCGGACGCTCCGTTCTCTTAAAAACTGTGTTACCATTTTTGGCACTTTTTGCCCTGTATCTTCGGAACGGCTAGACCCCGCCAAAAACTAATCAGCATATCTCCTCATTAATACGAATCGAATGTTTTTTGAATTATTCAAATTGGTTGATCGGTGTTCCCGAAATCGTCGACAAAAATTTGTATCCGCACACACACACACGCACACACATACACACACACATACACACACACATGCATTTTTTCTAAGGTATGCCAAAATATTCAGAAACCTTTGAAACGTATAGATATATAAAAATTTTCATTTTCTATTTTTTGCTATTACTATAACTTGTCCTACGGGAAGTTAAAAATGTTATTTGGCGGCAAAAAATATTTATTAAACATATGCACATCAAATTATCAGATATTTTATAATGATTTTAATAATTTTTTTTTGTTACAATTTATTTTTGTTAATCAAGACTTTTATGTCTTATTTAGATTTTAATAATGTGTACACATTTTGTGAAATTTTTTTTGGGTTCCGTACCAAGATTTTTGATTACGGTACGAGAAGTTCCTGCAGTTTGCAATTTTTTTGGGTTTCGTACCAAGGTTTTTAATTACGGTACGAGAAGTTCCAGCAGTTTGCTTTAAAGCACGATGCCATGCACTCCACTAGTTTAGTAAATAGACCATTATCGTAATTTTCAGTATAGAACATAGTTAGCATTTGGATTTTACTCAAATTCACTATTAGGGAAATTGTTTCTACTACTTTGCCCATCAGAGCAGGAACTTTTGGAAACCTAGGATAACGAAATAATGTTAATGTGGTAGAGGACAACTGTATCGCAGCGGTTCAGTAATAGTTCTGAACTTGTTGCTTATTATGTACTTTTGTAGTTCGCGCCTAAACTTTGTTTCAATTATTTGTTCTTTGTGAACTTAAATTATATCAAGTTTATTTATGGTGCACGCAATTAAAATAATATTGAATATGAGATATTATTTTATGATAATATTTTCTCATGAATTTTATTTTATTGTTTATACATTTACCTACTCACTATTTGCGCTTTATTCGAAAGCTACATTTAAAATGTAATGGAATCTTTCTTACGCTTTACGTTTTTTTGAACTTGCTATTGCTCAAACTTTTCCCACGCTTGTTGCACTACGACGCTTTCTTCAAATTCCTTTATTTTCTCTTCTAGCATAAGTTGATCATATGCATTTTTCCTCGTTTCAGTCTATTCAGTTTATTCATTTTTCTTCATAAATTCATTTTACTTTACACAGTAGACTTTATTTCAAACTTCAATGGTGCATTTCATCTTGACCATTCTTATTCATCATTATAATCTAAAATCTTCAAGTTTTTTGTCGTAGTTTATACACGACTTTGACTCTTATAGTTTTTAAGTACAAATTTGTAGTTTTCACGCCAATTGTATTTATTTTCTAACTTTTTTCACTTTTTGCTTTGATGTGTGTATATATATATATATATTACGAAAGCTACATTTAAAATGTAATGGAATCTTTCTTACGCTTTACGTTTTTTTGAACTTGCTATTGCTCAAACTTTTTCCACGCTTTTTGCACTACGACGCTTTCTTCAAATTCCTGTATTTTCTTCTCTAGCAAAAGTTGATCATATGCATTTTTCCTCGTTTCAGTCTATTCAGTTTATACATTTTTCTTCATAAATTCATTTTACTTCACACAGTAGTCTTTATTTCAAACTTCAAGGGTGCATTTCATCTTGACCATTCTTATTCATCATTATAATCCAAAATCTTCAAGTTTTTTGTCGTAGTTTATACACGACTTTGACCCTTGTAGTTTTTAAGTACAAATTTGTGGTTTTTTCGTATTTATTTTCTAGCTTTTTCCACTTCTTGCTTTGATGTATATATATATATATATATATATATATATATATATTCGGGTGGTCCTTATTAAGGACATTTTTAAATTTCCTTGCTCCCGAGGGCTTCAATGGTTCCAAATTGATAAAAAACAATTTTCTGAAAGTTTTAGCTCTGAATATTAACTTTTAGATAGCGCGCAATTCATTCAAACTTTGTATGTAAAGAGCATGGAAAAAAAATTTAAAATTAAAAAAAAAATGTTTTAGGTATAACTTAGCGACAAATGAATAAGTTTTATTTATTCATTTGTTCGCTAAATTACATCTAAAAAACATTTTTAAAATTTTTGAAAATTTTTCCATGCTATTTCCATACAAAACTTTGATTGAATTGCGCTCTATCTAATCATTTAGATATATATATATATTTAAACATATATATATATATATATATATATATGTCTATATAAACTATAGCAAAATAGTTCCCTAATGCAGGAAAAAAGCTGTCAAGAGCTTACCATACATGATCACATTTAAGCTACCACAAAAACCAAAACTGGATGTTCTTTTTTTGTGGGATCACTATTATGTTGAGCTTTTTCGTTTGTGAAAACACATGATAAATTGATGAACCATGTATCTGAGGTTTATTTATATATTATTTATAGTTAGTGATAATAATTCAACATACTTTTTGAATATACAAAGACCCAATCATCAAGAGTTCGTAATTGTTCTTTATTATTACTTTATTTACTACATTATAATGTAGTAATACTATATATAGTATATAATTAGAATACATTTATTATAATATTAGTAATATAGCATGTTCAATTTAATATACTACGTGATACTTCTTAATGATTTACAAATATCTAATTCTAATCATCAGCATTTTTTCCATTATAAATTAAATCAATTTTAGATTAGTTCGTCTCAAAAATGCTGATTGAGATTCGCAAATGCTAGCTTTCAGATAAATCGGATTGCAATAGATTTATGTATTAGAATTTATATTGCTCTTTTATATATTAATTTTAACAAAGCTTTACCTTATAGGTATCTACACAATGAAATAGGTTTGAAGTTGTTCTGCATTCATATCTTAGTTAGAAGAATACGAGTATGTTGTTCAATGTATAAAAGGAAACATAAGTATCCATAATTTATAATTGGTTTAGATTAACTAATTTACTAAATTATTTTAGGAATAGATATTAATAGAATTTAACGTAAATTCTAAAAAAATTAAAACAAAATTAACAACAATATTCTTGCAATGCAACATACTCTTTAAGCAATATTTTGTTAACTGACTGTAAGTGATATTTACTACAATATTTTTTCTACTTATTTAAAAAGATTTTCATTATCAAAACATTATACTATAAAAAATTACTAACGTCGAATAAAAAAAACACACTAAACAAATAATTTAGGAGCACAATCTATCATCTCAAACCAAAATTTAATAAATCTTAGTTTAGAAAAGCACAAGTTTTTCAATAATGTTTATTGTTGTTTTGCATATTATTATATATTGATTTATTTTTTATACTGAATAGCTGATTTGGTTAATTATATTTAATTATTGATTTAATAATCATGATGGTTGACAAGATATCAATAAATTCTCAAAAAAAAATGCTTTTCAATGATTGCGATCATTTTAACTTCAATTTCTCCTTATTAAATTTTAACAAAAGTGTCATTCAATGTTTTTTGAAATGCAAAAATTATTAATGAGTCGAGCTTTTAGTAAGTTTTTTAATTACACTTTTGATTAACGTTTAATCTAGAATAAAATGTAAAGCATACAATTTCAATTATAAAATAATAAGACAAAAATTATCTTCATAATTAGAAATTAATTAAAGATAATTCCATCCAAAGCTGTCGCATGCAAGCACAAAATAAAGCTCGCCTGTTTCGTGCTTTCTTTTGCTTTTAATGCTCATTTATTCTCACCGTTTTAATTGTACACGTGTCAAATTCTATTAACTCGTTAACAGGACGTTTAACATATTATGATAAAA